GCAGACCTGCCGGACTGTGGGTGAGCGTGGGCCCCTCGCCTCTGTGCACACTGTGCACACTGCATCCCCATGACCCCGTCTTTCCAAGAGACCACCTGCGACTGAACAGCTAGCTCAGAGAGGACGTCTGATGGGTGGGACTCCAGGGCAAGTGTCCTGAAGTCATAGGAACTGCACATTTGGATATGGGTGACCCTAGGCAAGTCATTTCTTCTTGTGGGCCCCAATTTCCCAAACTATAAAGAGGGACTAGCTGAGTAGGGTGCCCTGGTTCAACCATAAGGGTTACTAATGCTCTGCTCCCCCCACCCAACCCCCCCACTCCACAGCGGCCTGCAACCTCCCCATAGTCCAGGGACCCTGCCGAGCCTTCATCCGGCTGTGGGCATTTGATGCCGCCCAGGGGAAGTGTGTCCTCTTCACCTATGGAGGCTGCCGTGGCAACGGCAACAAATTCTACTCGGAGAAGGAGTGCAAGGAGTACTGTGGCATTCCTGGCGACGGTAGGAGTCCCCCCCGGGGTGCCAGACTGGGCCATGGGGCCCTTAGGGTCCCAGTGGGAGAGCCTGTTAGGAGCAGGGGGTCTGGAGAGCTGAGTTCTGGACTCTGTACCTGATGACCAGCTCATCCACTCTCTGGGCCTCAGCTCCCCATCTGTAAAATGGGGCCAAGCCCTAGGCCTCACCCCGGCTGGGATGGGGCAGCTGGGAAGGTGCTGGCCAGGTACAGGCAGAGGGGGTGCAGGTGGGCTGAGGAGCCCCAATTCTGGCTCTAATTCTGGTGCTGCCACACTGGGCTGGCCACACTGGGCAGGTGCCAATTTGAGCCTTGATTTTCTCTTCTGTAAAATGGGACAAAGTACCTACTTGCCAGACTTCAAAGTGACAAGCACAGCTAGTCCTCAGCTAACGGAGCTGTTACTAAGAATGATGGGGATGCTGTAAGGAGAATAGTAAGAGCATCCCAGGGAACAGCCGCCATGTAGGGCTTCTGTGCCCTGTCTCCCCTCATGGCCCAAGTAAATGAGAAGAGGCAAGAAATCAGATCATTCTGTGGGATGCACTTTGAGGATATCAAGTCGTTCAGGGAGCAGAAGGTTCTGGCCTTGAGCTCAGGCCCCAACTCAGCCCGAGTGGCCTTCCCTCCTTCACGAGGCAGCCCCATCCCCTGACAGTCCCACCCACGGACCCCTGGGCGAGCCCGCACCCACTCCCTGGGCCTCTCTGTGTCCGCAGGGGACGAGGAGCTGCTACGCTTCTCCGGCTGACCGGTCTGCAGGCCAGAGAGGGGCCACAGGGTGGCAGGGCCAGTGTCTGTCCCCGTGCCCCACGGCAGTCCGGCCCATGTAACCTGGGTTCAAATAAAAACCAAATTGTAGACTCCTGAAATTCCACGTCCTGACTGTTCATTGTCGTCGCCGGTGTGACGAGGTGGGGGAGGGATGAGGAGGCAGAGCTGGGGTCGGGGCACCAGCAGCCCCAGCTCTCCCCAGAAGCAGACAGTGCGTGTGTGGGGAACGTAACAGAACCAGCTTCCGCACGTGAAACCGACTATGCAAATTATGAAGCATCAATCACAGTTCCGTTTACTCCACAATAGTGTAATGGGGGATGGTTCCTTTTAATAAAGCTGGTAAAAAGGGAAAATTGAGTACTTGTTTCTGGGAGATGTTTGATGGGGTCATCCGTGACTCATCGTCGGAAGAAGTAACTGGGCCCTCGTGTGCCTGGCGGGGTCAGGGCAAACGGTCCCCAAGTGTGCAAAATGATTCCTCTGTCCTTTGCCCAGTGGAACCCCCCCTCCACATTTTACCTCAGCTGCATCCTCAGCATCCGCTGCCAGGAGCTGAAGAGCCTTGGCTGTTGCTCCAGGAGGCCCTTGCCCTTGGCCCTTGAGTTCCCATCTCCTGGCATCCTCACTCTGACCTTTGCCCAGAAGCAGAATGTTCGCTGGCCTTTGCACTGTGTCCAGGACAAGCAGAGCCGAAGCCCCCGTCCGGCCTGCTTTTCCTCCCTTGAGGAAGAGAACCAACTGGTTCAGGTGGCTCAGGCACCAACTCGGCCCAAGAACACGACTCCAGGAGCCTCCAATTTAGACACGCTCGGTTTACGAACATTTAACTTATAAAGACTTCTCGCTAGCTCCGTCCACCCAGAGCCCTGATCGACGCTGCTGCCGCCGAGGGAGGAAACAACCCCAGCTTTGTGCGTTCTGAGGTGGAGAGCTGACCCCCCAAGCAGAAACCCAGGCAGGGCCAGCGCCACCTCTCCGTGGGGCGACCCGCGTGCCAAGGGCTGGCAGCTAGCTCAGTCCAGGGTCCCTCTCCTGCCATTAGCCTGTTTGCTTAAGAGACCCATCAGGACGGAAGAAGGGAGGGAACCGTGCATTTCTTGTCGAGGGGAGGACCCAGAGGCAGGGACGTGGGTGTGCAAAGCTTGGAGGCCCCCTGGTCAGACCTCATAAAGACCCCCTCCTCGTCTCCCCCAAGGTCCAGAGCTTGGGGCTTCCAGTTCCCAACAGAGAGGACAGCGTCTGTGGTCATGGCCAGGACTCTCTGGGCACAAGTGGGTGGGGACAGCGGCAGGGGGACACAGGCAGTTGTTCTGGGAGAAGCAACAGGCTCTCCAGCCTGGAACTAACAAATGGCATCACGTCCCTATCTTGCTCGCCTCCGTGCACGCTCACACACCAGGGCCGGCCACATGTGGCAGACTGAAGGTGCCACTCTGAAGAGGTTTATTTTGAAGTGACCTGAGGGACCAATGCTTAAACCGGAGGGTGCAAGCCACAGGCAGGCAGTCCAGCTTCAGCTGGTGGAAGGGATGTTTGACTTAAAAGGCATTTTTTACAGTTCTGAATTAGCCATTTAAAAGTGGACCTACCATATACAAATCCAGCTTTCTCAATTCTCTTGAAAAATAAGTTCTGGCAGCCCAGGGCCTGCATCCTGCACCCCAAGTGGTGGGAGCCGAGTGGAGATGGCCCCTCTAGACAGGGCCTCCCCTGTGGTCGGCCAGCCCTGCCTGCTGCCCTGCCTGGTCCCAGAGGCATGCGTCTCCATGACACTCACTAAAACTTTGACGACAAAAAATTCCCTTGAATCCTGACCTTCTCCCTGAGGGGTGGGATGGGGATGAAGCCCATCTGTGACCCCAAGTCAAGAGTTCACGATGCTCATCTCGGAAGGCACCAGAATCACTCTCAGCAAAGCGGCTGCCCTGAAGACTCCCATTTTTTTTTTTTTGGTGAGGAAGATTGGCCCTAAACTAACATCTGTTGCCAATCTTCCTTTTTTTTTATTCTCCCCAAAGCCCCAGTACATAGTTGTATATCCTAGTTGTAGGTCATTCTAGTTCTTCCATTGGGACATCGTCACAGCATGGCTTGATGAGCAGTGTGTAGGTCCACGCCCAGCATCCAAACTGGCGAACTCCAGGTCGCTGAAGTGGAGCACGTGAACTTAACCACTATGCCACTGGGTCGGCCCTCTCCCTTGATTCTTAGTCTCGCCTCAAATTTTCTCTTAAAGATACCGTGATGGAGGCCGGCCTGGTGGCAGAGCCGTTAAGTTCAGACGTTCCGCCTCGGCGGCCTGGGGTTCGCTGGTTCCAATCCTGGGTGCAGATGTACATACCACTTGTCAAGGCCATGCTGTGGTAGGCGTCCCACATATAAAGTAGAGGAAGATGGGCACGGATGTTAGCTCAGGGCCAGTCTTCCTCAGCAAAAAGAGGAGGATTGGTGGTGGATGTTAGCTCAGGGCTAATCTTCCTCAAAAAAAAGATACTGTGAGGCTGGTTTCTGTTACCAAATAGATGTGGCTACTTAATAAAGAAACATATCCTTTTTTATTTTAATTTTAAAATCCAGAGGCAGGCCTTTTGGCGGTAGGAGGGCTCTGGGCCCACGCCCCGGCCTTCTCTGTGATGGTGCCAGGTGCCGGGAAGGAATCTTCCAGCTCCAGAGCTCTCCTGACTTTCTCGAGTGCACAGAAACTCCGAATGAACTCCAGCTGCTTGCTCAGGCCCATCCGCACGGACACCTCCCCGCAGGAAAGGCCCTCGGAAGGATGGCTCTGAGGGCAGGGCTGCTGCCCCGGGGCCGGTGGCCCAGCGCTCGGCCTCACGTGCTGCGACCCGTGGGATTTGAGAGAATCGGTTCAGCTGATCCAGGCTCCACATCCGTTTCAGGGAGAGCACCCTGTGAGCTGGTTGAAGACACAGATAAAGCACAACTTGGCGTCCCCTTTGCACGAGCTGTCCTGCCCACAGCAGGCCTGCTCTCGGAGTCGTCTCCCCTCCCCAGCCACTCAGGCCACCGCTGGCCCTCTGGCGGCATCTTCTCTCCTTCGACTGGCCTTCCGTTTTGACTCTGTTCAAGCAAAGCACTGATGCGCTCCAGGCGTCTGTAGTGCGGGGCGCTGGGCGGGGCCCACAGAGGGCAAGTCCGCCCAGGCTGGGCCCCGCAGCTCACCGCGATTCTGAATGTGCTCAGAGTCACAGATGCCATCAGGAATCTGGAAAAGCCAGGGACACCCTTCCCCAGATGGAGGACCACACACAGCACATAAGGTCACACACATCGCCTGGGAGGCCAAGGCCGCTGGGTGCCGGGTCACAAGAGGCACATGAATGACCACCGGGCGAGGCGAACTTGGATGCGTCCCTGGCCGTTGGGCCTGCAGGACTCAGAGATCGAACCCATCCCTTCTTCCAGGGGACAGTGCTCCGGAAGCAAAGCCCCCAGGGGCCACGTCTTCCCTTGGCCATGTCCGTCCCTCCTTTCTCAAACATCGGCTGAGCCGGCTCTGGTGCCGGAGGTGAGCCATGAGCTCTGATAAGGACTTCACAACCCCAACCTCAGTGTCCCGCGGGGGTGCACTCTGGCTCTGTCACCCCCAGGCGTCTGGCCTTTGGTCCATGTCTACTCACCGGTGCCCTGCTCCTAAGTGGATGACACGGCCCAACCACAAACCCAAGAAATAACACCGCACACTGCCATCTTCCTAAAAGTCGTTTTATTGTAAAACCATAAATACAACACTGACATGAAATCATTTAAGCAACTGACCCTCTCTAACCATTAAAAGGATGTCTTCTTGCCTTGGCATCAACCAACTGGGAAATCATGTTGCAAGATTCGAGGGGTAGGGGGAATGCGGAATTCCGGGCTGGGGCTTTGGGTGATTTAAAGGACCAAGCGGGACCTTCCTCTTTTCCCTGGGGAATGTCCCACGGTTGGACAAGAACAGACAGGTAAAAACAGCAACATTGAAACAGCTCAGTTTTAAATTTTATTACTTTGTAAAAATCTTTTTTTTTTTTTTCTTTTTCTTTTCCTTTCCTCCATTTGACATCAGTAAGAGTTTGAAACATCACGAAACTGATTTGGCTGTAAATGGAGAAACGGTACCAAAACAAAGCGAAACGGAAAACTCAAAGGACAAACAGAAAACCCCTAAATAAACCCTCAAGTTTGGTCTCGGGGGGGTTTTCGTATCACAAGAACCGTCAACTCAACCCCCATGCAACGGGACTCCTCGGAGAGCTGCTGGGCCCACACCGACGACACAGGAGACCGCGAACAATGTCTTTTGTTAATTAACACAGCAAGGGTGACACTAGGTAACTTCTTTTTTTTAAATACAGTACATGGTACACAGGGTCCCAAGATGGCCCTGAATAAACCCCCTGTGGAGACTTGAGCCAAGTGCTGGCTGTTTATAAAAATATTGTGTTGCTACAAAAGTATAAATTAATGCTACCGGTATTAAGAAATATTAAACACATAAAACTTATAAGGATTAAGAAAAATATTCATTAATACCTGTAGAAAACTCTGGCCTAAAAAAGATATTTTTTTTTGTGTTTGTTTTTTTGTAAATTTTTTTTTGTATTTTTTTTTAAGATGACTTGAGTTTCTTGCACTCGAAGAGAGAGACACAGTCGGATGTGTCTATGGTATTGCCTAGAATGTCTTAACTACTGAGAGAGGATGGGGGTGCACACACGGGGTGACCGAGTGGGGCACAGGAGGGAGGGGCACCAAGGCTTTCTTGAGATTTACCTGATGTGAAAGAATCACCGATGTGAAGTTGTAGGGGAAAAAAAAAACAAAACGCAGGACTGGGAAACAACTGAAAATAATTTACGCTTTTTAAAAAATATCTCTACTTCAGGTGGTTGTACAAAATGACTTCCTGATGTATGGGATCTGAATGGCCCTGGACGCGCTGTCCGCTGGGTCGGAGCTTCCAGCCCCGCAGGTCCCTCTCTTCTGGCTGGTGAGTCCCAGCCCATGCCAGTCCATGAGCTCGCTCACTGCCTGGAAACCCAGCCCCCCTGAATGGGAGGGAGGGAGGGTCCCAGGCGGGGACCGGCTGGCACCTGGGTTGTGAGAGTAGGCCCTCCCTCGGGCTGGTCTCAGCCCCCGTGGTCTCGGCCAACCTGGACTTCAGGAAGGACCCCAGGCCCCTGAGGCTGCGGACAAGGCTGGGCTGTGCCCCTTTAAGGAACTTTGGTTCGAAGAGTCAAGGTGCCCAGTGGGATGTGTGGGTGGGTCGGAGCCTCGTGGTCCTGATGCTGACACCCATCTGCAAAACCAGCAAGTCCTTCTGTGTACAGGAGTCGAATCGCTAAAGCAACACCCGTGGTGGCGGCGGCGGTCGGGGGGGGGGGGGGACGTGAATATGACAAACAGCAACCTAAGCAACCACCAACCGCGATCCTCCAACGCCAAAGAGAGGAAGAAAAACGAAAACAGCAACAAGAGCTCCAGAAAACCCTGCAAAGGGGAAACCGGGAGGGAAATGTGAGAGGGAAAACACTGGATCATTGGTTCACCATAACTGGCCTAGCAAACTTGAGCCACAGTGAGGAGAGGGTTAGGCCCCTGCCAGGTCCTCCCACGGGCCCGGCTGGATAGGGGGCAGGGCGGGGCCGACAGGAGCCCATCTCCCATCTCCAGGGCACAGCCTGAGCCTGACTCAGCCTCCTGGTTCTGTCTAAACCAGTGGCTTTTCCAGGAGCCCTCCTTTGGGTACCCCCCAGAGACACAGGCATCGCCGCTTCCCTAAGGCAGGGGTGAAGCTGTGAGGCCACCCCAGCTCAGTGGGGCAGGAGGGGGCGCCCACCGAGCCCCGAGCCCCTCCTCTTCCCGTCTCTGCAAGCACATCCCTCATGATGACAACATCCAGGCGTTGTCCCCTTCTGGGCTGTTTCTCATGGGACCTCCCTTCTCCGTTCGCATCCCAGCTTCATCTCAAACCTTTCTTGTGAACCTGCGGCCCCCAGAGAGTGCGTGCTGTTCCCTGACGTCTCTCCGGGGGGGGCCCCCTTTCCAAGGAGTCCAGTCCAAGTCCAGGCGGAAGCAGGTGGCCTCGCACAGGCCTGGGGGCCTCCTCGAGGCAGCGGGTCAGCTTCACAGTGGAAAACGTGCCTCGCGGGGTTTTTCTCCGGGGGTTTCCTCCAAGTGCGGGAGAGAGAGGAGCGAACTGAAGGGGAGGACCCTGGCCGGGCTGCAGACCTGGGGCCAAAAAAAGGTCTTGCTGGAATCCTGGAGACCCGTGACTTCTCGACCGTGTCACTGGCCTGTCCTCCCCTCAGTAGGAACATTGGTACCCTTTTCCCAGCCCAGAGCCAATCCCAGAACGCCAAGCACGAGTCTGACAGGTGGAACGGGGGCCAAGCATCCTCGTTCGCAGACGCGGCAGATGCTCTGTGCCGTGAACCCGAGACAAGGTGCAGGCAGAAAGCTCTACTCAGGCGGCCCCAGGGTTTCGTTTCCTGGTTTCTAATTACCATCCAGAGGGCGGCCTGGCGGGCTGACCTAGGCATAGGGAAGGGAGAATGGTGTTGAGACAAGAGCATCCACTCACGAGGACTAGCATGCCACCAGTGTTCTTGGTGGAGCCGAGACCACCCCCCAACCCTCTGGGCTAAATCGGAGGGAGCACCCACAAGGCTGTGTCCTCCGTTTGAGCTTTGGTGGTGAAGCTAACCATCTCAGAGGTATGTTTTGCCCACCTCCTGTCTGGGGTGCATGTATGTCAAAACCAAGGCCATTTCTGTCCTGGGAACACACGGCTTGAGATGAGTTGCATCCAAGTCAGCAAACAACCGACCACCACGAGCTGCCAATACGATAGAAATGGCCCAACTTCCTGGTCGGCCAGCCCCCAGGGGCCCGCGGTCGAAAGTCCTGCAGCAGTCACACGACTGGGAGGCAGATGACAAAATCCTTCCGAAGGTGGACGCCAGGCTGGGTGGCGGGAGATAAACTGGAGGAGCCTCTCCCCAACCTTTGGCTGAACCAAAGGTGGCTATTGCTGGAAAGAAGGGGCCAGTGGCTGGAGCTGTGAGATCTTTGGGTTTTATTAAGCGGCTCCTCGCAGAGGGTTTGCCCCACGGGCACTGTGCGTGGCACAAGCAGATGGAGGCGCCACTGTGGCACAGCCTTTCCTGTTGGTGATGACAGTTTTTGGGGAACCAGAGGTTGCAACAGAGAAATGACTACCTGCCACCTTGTTACCGTATGTGGATGAGGCAGCCCCAGGACACAGCTTGCAGAGTCCCTAGGGGCCTTCACAGCAAACCTGCAGAGGCAGCCAAGCCCTCAGGATTGAACTGAGGTGGGAAGGGAGAAGAGAAAAGGAGGGAACACATATGACCACTTATCTAGAGTTCAGCAAGACTTCTGGAGTTTTCCTTCTGGAGGGCAGACATCTTCATGTTCCAAAGAGAATACAGATATCTGGGCTTGGTCTCTGATGGCTTCGCAAGAAAGTGAAATGCCTAATTTCTACTCAGCTAGCCCAATCACCGGGGCAGCGCCAGCACGGCTCTGCTCTGAGGCTCTGCTCCCACCGACCACATGAAGTGGGCAGCGCTAGTCCCCCTGTGTGGTTCCAAGTGCCAGGCCGTGAACTGTCCCCCGCGGCAAAGCAAAGCTGGGGGACCTTATGCTGTAGGCATATCTCTCATCAGCAACCTTGCAGCCATCTTCTGGAACGCCCCTGAAGGTCTGAGCCCAAAGTCTGTTGATGCTTCCATACTCCCCAGGAAGTGATGTCAGTGTGGATGTCAGTGTCCAGTGTGGATGGAAGCTCCTCTAATGACGTGACCCGCGACGGAAATGCTATGGAGGAAATATTGAGAACGTCTCCAGGATGGGAGAAGGCATGCTGGTTCCCGCGACCATGCCTTGCTTCTCACTCTGATGCATCTCAGTACGTCCAAGGGTTCGTGCTCATAAAGCAAAGTGGGCGGGCCTGGCACCCGGGGCCACATCTGGTCCACCCTCCTACGCCTCTGGAGGTTTTACACCCGCTTTCCTGCCACGGGCCTGGGGCAGGGCTGTTGTACAGTGCTTTTTGAAGTCGAGGTATCTCACAGTTGAGTAATGCTTTATTACTAGGAAGGGATGGCGTGGACTGAGCCCCCAGGGTGGCAGAAAGTGCCTTTGCAAAGAGCCCCCCACAATGGCGGTCGTTCTTAGCCAGAAGCCCTTGGTGTGAACATCTCTATCCCACCGCCATGGGCACCGGGGGGACGTGGGACCACCAGCACTTTATTCACTGAGAGCTGGGGTGGGGGTGAGCACGGACCCCAACGGAAACACCTCTTGGGATGGGGCCGGGGTCACCCCCTGGGCATTTGCGCTGAGAGTAGAACCTAAACTGCTCGAGGAGAGAGAAGCCTGAAGACATCTTCACAGCGTCAAGTTGAACGTGGCCTAATGCCAGTGCACCCTCAAGACATCCCTCGTTTGGCCCACAAGGCACCGTGCTCAACCACTGTCCTGGAAGGTGGCGGAGGCCGACGGGGGGACCCCCAGGGCTGCGGGCGACGGAACCACCGGAACCCTGGGGTCCTGGGAAGGGAGGGGAGGCCGTGGGTCTGAGGTGTGACGGATGTGAACGTGGATCAACTCGGGAGTCCCTGGGGAGCTGGAAGTGTCAGTGATGTGGCGAGTAGTGTAACGCACTCTGGGTATAGCCATTGGACCTTCGCAGGACCAGACACAGCGGGCCGGGAGGGCGGGTCTTCCGCGTACATTCAGGAGAACTCCTAAGCCACACGCTTCCCTATGGCTTCCAGCAGAACCCCCCTCTGTGAAACCCGTGACTCCAGCCCCACTCCTGCTCCCCTAACAGCACAGCCAAGTTCACAGCCTTGGTTGTTCAAACATACAGAAACTGGACCGTACAAGGAAAGGCTAATAAAACCTTAGGATACTGACTATACCACTGAGATGAGCCAGTTTACAGTGTGACTTGAGGAACAAAAAGGGCAATTAAAAAAAAAAAAAAAACCCAAAACATAAGTTATAGACATTCAGTGCCTCCTAGCAGAGTCTAAATCAAATTTGAAAAAACAAAACCAAAAAAAAAAAAAAAATGTAAAAACTGCTAAAATGTTAGGAAAAAAAAATTAATAAGGAGTGGAGACAGGATCTATACTTCTTTGAAAAATGTCTTTCTTCTTTTCTATCTTATATTAAAAAGCAAAAAGTCAGCTTTATATTCTTAAAGTCTCCTTTCCTGATTTGGGAAGATAGGTGTGTTTCTAAGGCGGCCGCCCCGGGACACGCAAGGGTGCCTCGAAGGCAGCAGCTCAATGCCCTGAAGGTGAAGAAAAAAGTCCAGTGCAGAAACTGTCCATCTGATGTAGGCTGGAGCGTCCATGGCAGAGCAGCCGGGGAGGGCGGGGTGTGATGGGGTCACGAGGGCTCGGCAAGGGGGACGGAGGGGAGAGGGAGACCACGGGATGAAGGACGGGGAGTGTCAAGTCACTTCAGAACTCAGCTGCCTGAATATCTTACCACACCAGCTTTCTACCCATCTGCACACCTGAAAATGGAATCTTTAAAGCCCCCTTAGCGAGAAAAGGAGGGGAAAGGTCTTCCCTCCCCCGCTACCACTCAGCTTTCCTGACACACCCAGTTTGATACACACGCGCCCAGGAGCAGGCGTGTGCACGTGCACCAGGGCTGCATGTGTGTGCACGCGTGCACCAAGCTTCCGCGGCCACGCGGACGAGCACGGAGCCTCCACGCCTACATGGGTGGCGCACACGTGCACACACACACACACACACACACACACACAGTGGAAAAAAAAGCACTTAAGTTTCCAGGGGGCGTTATAATGAGGTCCACAGTGTTTAGAACTTAAATTCCTTCTCTTTGTTTGCGACAGTGTTGTGTGTATTTTTTTTTTCCTAACGTCCTCTTCTCTCTTTTTTTTTTTTTCCTTTCTCTTTCTTTCTCGTTCTGTTCCCAGGGAAGGTCTTAAAGCATGTTGGATTTCAGAAACATGAGTTTGTTCATGTCTTCTGGACTGAGCAGTCGTCTCCTTTTGATTAAAAGTGCCTGTTCACACATATTTACACACCCGCTCCTGGCCCCCACGGCCGGAACCGCCAGGAGCCAGAAGGCCAGCTTGGCGAGTTTCGTGTGCTTCTGGGTTACGCACGACCAGTACTGGAAGAGGTCGGGGGTGGCCTGGAAGAGGGGCTCCTGCAGGTAGTCGTACACTTCGTTCTTCCCAAGCCGATCGTCCTCCTGAGCCGCAGGGCTCTCGCTGGCGGCGGAGCGGGGCTTCTTGGCCGCGGGCTCGAAGTCAGCCTCCTCGGTCCAGGATTCCTTCACCTCGTTGATGAGCTCGCACACCTTGCCGATGATCTCCTCGTGCTGGTAGGGTGGGACGGGCCGCAGCTTCTGCTGCGGGTCCAGGATCATGGCCACCTTGTGCGCCGGGTGCACCTTGAAGTTCTCCTTGAGGGCCTCCAGGAAGAGGTGGCACAGCTTGCTGACGGTGCCCGCGTCGTTGGCCTTGGCCGTGAACAGCTTCTCGAGCCGGACGTAGGTGGGCAGCACCAGCTGCAGCGTGGGCTGGCTCTCGTTGCTCAGCTCGATGACCGCCTGCTTCACCGGCGTCAGGATGGCGGCCAGGTTGCTGAGCAGATGCTTGTTGAGGCTCTGGATGAGGTTCATCTTCTTGGCCCGGCTGTAGAACTCGCAGATCTGCTCGTAGCGCTCATGCACCAGCAGCAGCGAGTCCGTGACCGAGTTCCAGCAGGGCGGCGGCGAGGTCTCCTCCAGCGACCCGAAGGTCTCCTTGGCGAGGCCCGTGGAGCCCGCCAGGTCCTCGCACACGTTGAGCAGCTCGATGACCTCGTGCATGCTGCGGGCCTGCAGCGTCCGCTTGCTCAGCACGCTCTGCACCACGGAGTTCAAGGCACAGGCTGAGCAGCGAAGGCACATGCCGGCCTTGGAGAAGGCGGACGCGCTCACCCGGCAGTCCGTCACGTACACGGTCCTGATCTCCGACATCACGAACTCCGACAGCACGTTCTGCACCCAGTGGTGCACCAGGTCACCGCTGTCACGGATGTCCGCGCCCTTCACGCCCAGCACGTAGCTCTTGATGTGGTTGCCCTCGGCCTGGTAGGCCGTGAGGATGTAGCAGGAGTCGGGGCCCACGCTCTGCGAGTGGCAGGTGACGCCGATGCCCAGGCAGGCGTTGCTGCCCAAGGCACAGGTCACTTTCACCTTCACCTGGTTGTACATGCGCGGCAGGTGCTTCAGCGCCAGCGTGTTGAAATTGCCCAGGATCTCGGTGACGGAGAAGGCCCCGTAGCGGGCGCCGCTGTCCACCAGCGTCTGGGCCAGCTTCAGGAACTCCTTCCCGCTGACCACGCTCAGCGCGCCCAGGTCGGCGCACATGACCCGCAGCAGCCGCTCCGCGATGTTCTGCCGCTCCTTCTCGGGGATCATGCTGTTGGGTGTTAAACCACTGGTCGTGGCTGGCAGGAAACACAAGGAGAGATGTGATTAATCCTGGCATTCGAGGCTCCATGGTCCGGCAGCAGCCTTAGTCTCTTAAGCATCTAGTATTAGGAATTATGAACAGGTTTCATCTTGCACACAGATTGGTGGTACTGACTTTAACATGTGACTGTCTCACAGGAGTAAAGTTCTATGATTGATTAGTGATGCCTGTCATGGGCATGGGACTAGAACACAGTGGTATGTGTGCCACAAACTTGCTGCATGTATCATTTCCCTAGACCTTTGAAGCCAACTAACTCAGCCTCTTCCTCAGTACAGGAATGGCCTCTAAGAAAAGATGTCCCACCCTCTCCCTGGGCCTCCTGCCCATCCTAGGAGGTCACATAATTCCCAGAAATGAGCTTTTGGGGTGAAAGTGCTTTGTAGACCGTTCTGCCTGGTCTTGCAGTATCGCAGGAGGCACAGGTCGGCGGGATGGCGGGCAGTGCAGGGGCGGGAAGGTGTGTGGGGCAGGCCTCCATGAGCCCCCGGGCTCTGGCCTGGGAGAGACCTACTGTTGTTGGCACTGTTCCTCTGGGCCTGGGGTTTCCACTTCTCTTCCACAACAGCAGGCGGTGACCGGGACTGGTTGGAGGCCATGTTGTTCTCATTGTCGGCTGCGGGCACAAAGGGGACAGTGCGTTACCCTGAGGTGTGAGAGCTACAGCATGGCCAGTGAAGGCAAAACACAGCTTCCGGCACAGGCCTGGGTTCAAATCCTAGCTCTTCCTTAGACAACTGTCTAATGTTTGTGAAGCCTCATCTTCATCACTTGGAGAAATGAAGATAATAACTCGGAGGTGACACAATGGCTGGAAGGAATAATGCAAGGAAACAGGTGAGCACAGCGCCGGTGGAGTAAGCACTCAGGACACAGGAATCGCTGGACCCAAGCTGGCTGGGTGCCCCCACACCCACACACAACCAGAACGTCCTAGCTCTGAAATAGGGGAGTGGGTGCAAGTACACCCCAAGTGGCCTAAGGCATCTCACACTCTCACTTCTGTAAAGTCTGCCTTTTCGTCTTTTCAGCATATTTACAGTCACATGTTGCTAACAACGGGGACACGTCCTGAGAATGTGTCATTAGGTGATGTCGTGGTTCTGTGAACATCTTAGCGTGCCCTTGCACAAACCGAGACTGTACAGCCCACTACACACCTGGGACTAATCTTATGGGACCACCGTCGTATATGAGGTCTGCCACTGACCGAAATGTCACTACGTGGTGCATGACTGTACTAGAAATTTAATGAGATGAATAAAACAAAGCCAAAGCCCTATATGATATGAAGTACAAAATTTCCAACCCCCTCACTGTAAGACATGGGAACTGAAGTCCAGATATTGGAAAGGATTTGCCCACACAGAAAACCAGCAGCAAGGCTGGGTCAGTCATCCCAGGGCCCTGGTTCCCAGATGCCTCCTCCACGCATTACCCTAACTTCCGGTAACTTGTGCATATGCAACTGCATCCGGATAGAAAAAACTGGCACAGGCCTATTCTCATCTATTCACGGCTACTGCTTGACATTTTTATAGTCCGGAAATGGTCGGAGTGACATGCTTGTCCTAACAAATGGCTGCACGATCGTCTGTTGTACGACATACCACAGGCTGCTTGACCACACTCCACGCCCTGGGTTTCTGGGCTGTGCTGTTCCCAGCGTTACTGTTCTGCTAGGAACCTACCTGCCTAACAGTCTAACGTTGTTCCTTGTGCCATTTTTGGTTGTTGTTGCTATTGTGGAGTTTTTTCCTCGAGACATCATCTCAAAGGCAGAACTGACAACCCGAGGCTAGGAATGGGTCCATGACACTTGTTCAGTGCTGCCAGGCACCTTCCACTCTGCCCAGTTAAAGGCATCAGGCCTTAGAGGCCAAGGCCGCACTTTTCGTACTTAGAGGAGAGACTTCCCCAACTTCTACACGCTCAGCCCTACAAGACTAGTTAAGAAACTCTGGGACATCCACTCGGAGGCGTATTTTGCAAGCGCTAGAAAGGTGGTTACGTAGACTGTAATAATATGGGAAAATACGTAAAAGGACGAGAAGCAAGATCTAATAGTTATTTTGTATGTATTATTTATATATATATTTTAGACTTGCAAGTCAAAAAATAAACAAATCTATGCATCAAAAATAGCTAGGGAGGGGGACTTCTACTTCTGCCTGTTAAGGATGACCCGCCACGGCAGGTGCCCTCCAGATGCGAAAAACTGTGACCCTGACACGAATGCTCTCAGACAGGCAGCCCAGGCGGGACCCCGGAAAAACAGCAGCAGGTGTAAGCTCTATGACGGCCCCACATTCCTGCCTGGAGGCGGTGTCCAAGCTGCAGTGTGGGGACAGGGAACCGGAACAGAGCCCCGGGGTCTCGTGGATTCAAAGAGACAGAGATCAAAGTTTAGGGAGGCCCAAGGCAGCTGGAGTTCACAGGCAAAAGTACCCAAGAGACAGAGTTACACAGAGAGCGCTGGAGAACGTCAGTGGGGTTCCTTGGAGTTCCTGTTGAATATCAACCTGCCTAAGCACAGGGTCAAATCCCATGAGATGGGGAGAGAATCACCAGACAGCAGCAGGCCAATAACCCCTGGGGCTCCCACACGGGAGGGAGCCATCTGTGTTTCCTCAACCAGAATGGACAGACCTCACCATGGGGCTGAATCAGCCAAAGATGAAGGGCTGCAATACACCCGCCCCAATACCTCTTAGGAACAAGCCCCCAAACCATCAAGGCGGTCCCTTGAACTAAACTGTAAGCTGGAACAAATTTCAGCACTCTTTAAAAAACATACAGCAAAATCCAGCACCCGACAGTGTGAAATTCACAATGTTAAGTATCCAATAAAAAAAGTAGCACTTTCAAAGTCGCAGGAAAATATGACCTAAAAACCAGGAGAAAAACCAATCAAAGACAAGACCCAGCAAGAACAGAGACGATGGAATTAGCCAAGAATAAGGAGTTTAAAACAGCTGTCACAAATATCGTAGATATGCTCAAAGGCATGAAGGGAAACACGAGCGTCCTAGGGATAGAAATAGAAGATGTTAAAGAACCAAAACTAAAACTAACCAACCCAAGGGAACTTCTAGTATAAAAACAGACTGCATGGGAAAATACAGTGCACAGGATAAAAGCAGATAACATGCCAGGGAAGAAAAAAGCCAGTAAACCTAGAGACACAGCACTATCAAGCATGAAAAACAGAGAGGGCAAAAGGCTGAAAATAAATCAACAGAGCATGGACAATAACAAGCAGTTTAACAGACATAGAATTGGAGTGCCAGCCAAAAGGGGTGAGGCAGAAAAAATATTTGAAGAAATGGCGAAAATTTTTCCAAATTGGGTGAAAGCTATAAACCCAGATCCAAAAAGCTCAATTGACCCCAAGCAGAACAAACATAAAGAAACCACCACCATGGCCCAGTATCATAATGAAAATGTCGAAAATCATGAAGAGAAACTCTTAAAAGCAGCCAGAGACAGCGAAGTTACATACAGACAGAACCAAAATAAGGAGGAGAACAGACTTCTTATCAGAAATCACGCTACCCGGCAGGCAACAGAGCAAAGTACTAAAAGAAAATGTTAACCCAAAATTCTGAAGCCAGTGATCTCTTTCATAAACAAAGATGAAAGATTTTTGAAACAAACAAAAAATCAGACCTGCACTATAAGAAATGTTAAAGGAAGTTCTTTGTATCAGGAAAAAATGACATCAAACAAGAATTTGGATCTATAGAAAGAAACAACGAATGCTGGAAACTGTTCATGTGTAGATAAATATAAAAAATATTTCCCTCATTTTTAATCTCTTTATAAGATAACTGAATACTCACTGGAAAAGAATAACAACGAATTGTGGTATTATATATAGAAGCAACTATATGAAAACAAGAGCATAAAGAACAGGGAGGAAAAACAGACAATATCGTGGAAAGTTTCTTACATAATATGAAAAGTGGGCCAATATTATTTGAAGGTAGACTGTGATAAGTTAGAAATACATAGTTTAAAACCCAAATAAACTATAAAAAAATAAAACCAAAAGTTATAGCTAATAAGTGCATTGTGGAAATTAAAAGTGGAATCACAAAAATTCTCAATCCAAAATAAAGCAGGAATATTAGAGAAAAAGGAACAAAGAATAAATGAGACAATTAGCAAACAAATAGCAAGACGGTAGATTCAAACCCAATAATATTGAAATTACATTAAATGTAAATGGTCTCCATACTCCTAATAAAGGTCAGAGATTGTCATACTTATTAAAAAAGCAAGACCCAACAATATGTTGTCTATGAGAAACCTATTTAAATATGAAGACAGAGATGGGTTCAAAGTAAAAGGCTAAATAAAGGCAGACCATACAAACAGTAATGCTAGACCTCAGGACAAGAAACATTGCCAGGGATAACGGGAGACCCTGCATAATGATAAAGGAGTCAAATTATCAAGAATATATAATAATCCTAAATGTGTAAGCATGTGACAACAGAGCATCGAAACACACAAAGCAAAACCTGAGAGAACTAAAACAAGAAATAGACAAATCCACAGCTGGGAATTTCAACTCTCTTTTCTACGTGATTCCTACTGAGAAAAGAGAAACAAGACTGAACATAATAAATGAACAGAGAGTGGAGAATATCAAGCAGACTCACATACAGATAACCGGATTCCCAGAAAAAGGAGGTGGAGCAGAAAAATACTGAAATCATACACAGTAGGGTCTCTGACCATAACTGAATTAAATTAGAAGTCAATAACAAACAGATATTTGGAAAAACTGCAACTATCTGAATATTAAACATCACACATCCTAAGGGAAGCTAGAAAATGTTTTGAACTAAATAAAAATAAAAACCTAACACTTCAAAATTTGTGGGATAACTTTAAAGCAGGTCTTATGTATAGCATTAAATAATTATATTAGAAATGAAGGAAAACACAAGCAGTGTTACAAGCTTCCACCCTAAGAGATCTAAAGAGGAAGAATGAGTCTAAAGTAAGAAGAAAGGAAATAACAGAGATGGAAGCAGAAACGAATGTAACAAAATGGATAAACAACAGAGAAAAATCAGTGAAACTAAAAGGCGATCTTTGTAATAAATCAATGAAACTGATAAACTTCCAGCCAGAAAGATTAAGGGAAAAAAAAAGTGCACAAAAATTATCAGTATCAAGAATGAAACAGGGGACATGACTATCGATGCTACAGATATTAAAGGGATTAATAATGATTATGAACTTTATGCCAATAAATTTGACCACTTGAAGCAAACAAATATCCTGAAAGACACAAAGCACCAAAGTTCACTCCAGAAAAAAATAACCTGAAATAGTCCTACATCTATTTTAAAAATTGAGTTCCTAGTTAAATAACCTCCCACAGAGAAAATTCCCACATAGGTTTGCCCAAATATTTAAGGAAGAGATAACATAAATTCTACACAAATTCTTCCAGCAAACAGAAAGAACATCTCGCAATTCCTTTTACGAGGCTGGCATTACCCTAATCTAAAACTAGGGGAAAATATTACACGAAAACAAACTACAGTAAAATATCTTTCATAAATATAAATGCAAAAATCCTTAACAAAATACTAGCAA